AAATGTTAGAACAGTCTAAGAAAGAACTAATGAAATAAGATGCTTGAGTAAGGAATGAACAAATTGATTTGCCTGCAGCCATTGGTGGTTATATGCTATGCCATCCTTCTCTTAGGGAAAGATAGAAACTAAAAATTGCAGGAGGATGGCAATAAGGTCATCTTTCTAATGAGTATCCAAGCTAATATCCTAGCTTAGATAGAAATTTATTTAATATTTTGCAATTAAATATATATGATGTGAGCATGGGTTGTGTGTGTAGAGGATGATGACTATGATCAAAGCTGATGATCAGATTTGATTTTCATCACCCATTAACTGTATTAGGATGAGGATGGACAGACTAGAGGTATGCAGAGGATAAGTGCAGAACAAAGATTAAAGGCCCAATTAGCAGAGCACATTAGTAGAGCAATTAATGGGCAATTAGTTGTTTCAATGCCTGAAAAAAAATTGTCTCTGTTTAGCTCAGCACTAACTTAAATGCAGAGAGTTCAAGGTAAAAATTTATGAATATTTGAGGCGCACAACCATTGGTGAGTAAAAGGAGTAATTAGTGGTACAATAGAGAATAACAGGTTGTAGTCAGGAAAGGAAGCCACTAACAGTGCATGTGGTGACCTCTGCTAGACTGCAAGCAATGGTGGCTTTGCAGTCACTTCTGGGGAAACATCATTAGTTTGGCCAGAGCACAAGCAAATGCACAATAGGGATCAGTGTTGCTTTGCCACAAACTGTAATGAGATGAATCATGGATTTTTTTTTCATTTCTAGCATCTGTGATGTCACTCCTGTGAAAATATTACATTATAGAAAAGCAGAGAGAAAAAATATCCCTACTCTGATGCATTCCCTCAGCAGAGATGGGAAGTCACTATACTGAGCGGTTTGTCCCTGGCCCTTCTGCTGTGCATCACAGGCAGCGAGAGCGCGTGACGTGGGCCGAGAAGGTAATTAGGTTTCATAGCACGTATATCTGTTGTCTCTTTGCAATCTACTGCCAGAATGTACTATTTTAAGAGGTGAGCATGTGTCTGTTGAGGATTGATTTGAGCTTGCCAACTAGGGTCTTGCACACCACCAAGCAGCTGTCAGAAACACAGAGTATTCAGCTTCAGTTCTGTACCAAATTTCATGCAAGCAGCCCCTGCACCCATGTGGAGCCCTATTTATGGATCTGCCTGCTTAAAGCTCACTGAGGGATGTTAGCAGGCACTCCGTTGTTCCCCGTCGCTGTTTTTCACTGTGTCTATAGTGAGGTGGTCCATCTTGAAGGTGGTCTATTGATGAAATGATATATCTGTTGCCAGGCTGCTCGCAAATGCCAGAAAGAAATGATAAGTGTTTTTTTCTCTTTAAGTTCCCGCTTTGTATTAAATTCCTAAATGTAGATTTTTGGAGAACATTATTCTGCAGAACCATGTATTGCTCCTGCTTGGCTCTCTCCCCATCTTCCTTTCCCAGTGATAGGAATACAGAAGCCTTGCTATTCCAGAGCCGTGCTTCCTTTCGGGCAACAATAAAGCAGCAAAACACAGGGAGGAGAGAGCAGCTGCTGTGCCTGTGCAGCCGGGACGCCCAGCCTGCCCACCAGCCAGGCCTCGTGGTCTTCACCCTCCAGCCTTCTGCAGAAATTTTCTCCTGCAACAGTTCACAAGGGTAATGATCTCAATCTGGGAGACTACCAGACTCTAGCAATTTGGGCTTATGAAGTCCCAGTCCTCCCTTGTAGTTCAGTTTCATGTCCAGAGAACAGCTGTTTCAAGGTCCTGACCCCCAAAGTGACAAACTGACAGTTTCAGGCGCTTTGGCATCTCTGTGATGCTCCAGAGGTGCTCTCTGATAGACAGCAGTAGAAAGGTGCACAAGGGACCACTTTGAAATGATTGCAGCATGTGCAGCCTTGGAAAAAAATGTGAGCCGTATGCAAAGTCCTCAGATGATATAAACTGGTGTGATTTCAGTGATGTTTGGTTGATTGAAGCAAGGCTGAAAATCTAGCCCTCTCCTTGGCATCTTTTTTTTTTCCCATAGGTCAGCATCAGGTTTTTCAGACAGATATCTAAACCAAAAGGTAAGGTAAGCAAAGATAAGAAAAAGTGTGTATATTTTTTCCTGGTTGTTTCATTTAGATTTCTCTTTGTAATATCCATGCTTTTCGTGTTTTGTTGTGTTTAAAAGGATTCTATTATTTTCAGAAATGAATAGGATCTTCCTAAACAAATGAAAGGGCACAGATAACCAAGGATATTAAGTAATTTTCTCCCTGATTTTTTTTTTAATAGTTCTAAATAAAATCTAACTAGAGATGGTGCTAAATAGGCTATCATTTAGAATCACTTCAAGTTTAGAAATTTTTCCTGTGGTCAAAAGCAGGGTTGTTGGATTTTTCTTCTTCTTTATAAATAGCATATAAACAATGGCAAATTTACTTGTTAATCTAAAGTGCTAATATGCTGAAATCCCTTCCTGGTAAATAATTAGTTGAAGAACACAACCTATAGTAAAAGTCCTGATGCTTGGTTTTATAAAATGTTGTGTATTTTTGTTTTATCAAAACCATGGATTTTGCATTTCCAGCCTTGAGGCAACCAGTATGTTGCTTACATCGTTCCTAAGAATACCCTAGTTCTAGATCTTAGAATATCTAGAATATCCTAGTTCTAGATCTTAGAATATCTAGAATATTCTAGTTCTAGACCTAGATCTTCATCTGGTGTAAATGCCTGGAGGATTGTTTTTATTATTTAATTGTGTTCATAGTCACCACCTGATTTATGAGCTAAAGGTGCTAGATGCTGAACAGGGCTGACCTGTAGCAGGAAGATGAAACCTGCTTACAGGAATATACCCTATAGGTATATAAAGAATAGATGACATTAATTGTTCAATGACACTAGAAAACTGGACTAAAACTGAAATCTCCTGAAATCCGGATAAGGATCCTGCCTGTTAGCTGGCGCAAGCAAACAAGCCAATAATCCCTGGTGGGACGAGGGCAGAAAAGCGCCTGGCAGCGGCAGTAATGCCTAGATCTGGGCTCTGCGTGAGGTGAGCAGCAGCCTGCTCTTTTGAGCATAGGTGAAGCAGTTTATGGAAAAGAACTGATGCCAATTCTGATAGCTGGTCCGGCAACTACCTCCCGAACACATCTGGATTCGGTAGAGATTATGTGTCTCTACCGAGTCCCTGGTGACTGACTTCACATTGCCATGCTCAGCAGGTGCCAGCGGAAGTGCTCTGATCTGATGGAAATCACTCTAAGTAATGAACAGAAGATAACACTAAAAAGCTTTATCTGATTACTTTACATTTAGGGATTTGAAAATCTAGACTAAATCTGGAGGTGGCTGCTTTTTGAATTCAGCTTATTTCAGCTGTGGGCCCAAATCCGGGCTCTTAAAGTCTTGCTAGAAAGATGGTGAAGGCTTCATCAGGAGTGCTTTCCTTTGGTTTCGTACTGTCTGACTCTGTTGCAATAGTACAGTAGTAAATCAGGTCAGAAGGCTCATACATACAGCTTGTGTCTTTAAAAAAGCTCACTGTGTTGTCATGTGCAAAACAGGAAACGTGTAATGGTATGAACCCCAGAGGAGCAAGTCCAGGGCAAACTCTTCTGACCTCTTGGAAAACACATCCATCTGAACCTCACAGGGAAATGAAAACGTACGCGCTAACCACAGAAGTTAAGAAATACCCTTGCTTGCATCATATTGCCTTAACATAAAAAGGTTTTACATGAAAAACAGAGTAACTAATCACACAGCCTGCAAACCAATGCTATCATGGAGTGCTATTTTTCTTCTTCTTAGAAGCAGTATCATAGGTTGTTTTCATTTTGCGAGCGAAGCAGTATTTCGCAGTGAAACAACGTTCTCATTTTTCTTCTAGCTTTGTGCACTGGGAGATACTGTTGTTGTCCCTGAAGAGTCTGAAAAAAATGTAAATACTTAAGAGGTAGAGTCATGATTAACTCGAGTAAGTAAAAGTTAGATCATCATTTAAAACTGAGTAGAGATCGTGATTGAGAACAGAGATTTCGTTCCAGAATTCACCTCTTCTGGACCGGACTAGCTCCCATTTGGAGGCAAATGACCCCATGCCATTTTGCATCTGTCACAATGACTATAAGGTGTTCTTAAAACAAACAACATCTCACTCTTGTCCTGCACAGGCACAGCAGGAGGGTGCAAAGTCTGTTCCTAGTGATATCTCAGGCAACATGCCTAAAGGTACAAGGAAAAGGTTTTATACTTCATTAAATTAGAAATAGGAAAGGAATACTCGAAAAGCCAAGTTTTAGTTTTCCTGTAAGGTAATTTTCTTTTTTCAAAAATTGTTTTCAAAGGATTTGGGAATATATCCTAAGTAAGAAATCACTTGAACTTTGGAAATTTTGTATTATCCAGCTATAAAGCCTACTATGTAGAGATCTGCTAAAATTCACAGACAAGCTGATATTCATTTTTTTTTCTTAAAATTTTGGGTTTTGCTGTAGAGTGTGTCTTCACCTACTGGTAGAGCAATATTACTTTAGGAGCCTTTCAGTTAAACACAATGCTGAAGTTATTTAGTGGAACATAAATGTTTAGCTGTGCAATTTGGTCTGTAAACATTTAAAAGGTTGGAATGTTTATTCAAGATGGCCAGTCTTCCAAAACTTACAAAACTGAACTCTGTTCGCAGTCTTTACAGGGATTAGAAAGTGAAGACGTTTACTCATTTGAAAAGTTAGAAGGCAAAAGTCTCTTCAGCTCCCATCAGCGTGAAGTTTAGGTCTGTTTCACTTTGCAGTTTCCTTGGAATGAGTTGGCCTATTGTGAGCTGATTTCAAAACAGAAGTGGTTTGGATTAGGGTTGTTCCTGGAATCTCAGCATAAACCCAGGTCCCACTGAAAGGTGGGAAAGGGACTGATGTAGTTAATATTGCTTTTGCACATGCAAGCTGCAAAAGGTTTAGGAGTTGCTTCATGAGCGGTTAAGTTGTAACTGCTGTGAAAATGGCGGTTGCTGTGAGAAGGGAGATCTGCTGTCACATGGATGTGACTGTAACCTTCTATATTGTCCTCTATTACGCTGCTGCAAGTGAGTTACTACACACATAAGTAAGTAAACATGATTGTTCTTGATTTTTTTGGTTGATTTCTTAACGTTTCAACAGAATTTAGCTACACCTGACATGTATTTGTAAAGGATTTATTTTGGTGTCTATAGTGCATTAAGATGCTCTGTCCAAGTATGGACATGTAACATGATTCACAGCATCATTGGATGAGCTGTTGAAATCTTCTAGTTAATCAGTTCAGAGGGGAATTGGCAGCAGAAGCAACAATGAATTCAGAGAGTCGCTCCAAAATAGTAAATTAACATTTTCATAGTTCAAAATAAGGCTTGGTTCATGTTGTAATGAAAGGGCAGGCTCTTATTGTATGAAATATGGTTCAGTTATGATTAAAAGTTACACAATATTTTAATGAAATGATCATGTATTTGGTTTCTCAAACCACAGTAGAGGTTAACTGAATAGCTGCTGTTTGACAAGTTCTAAATACAACATCAGAAACAAATGGATTTTAGTTAAACGTAGTTTGTCCAAGAGAGGAACTTGCAGCTATATAATATAACTCTTTTAAATATGTTTAAATTATTCTCAGGTATTTCATAGCTGGGCCCATAGCTAATTGCTGCAATAACATAAATGGCCACTTGAATTCTCCAGTGCATTTCTAAGTGACTGGATGACTGATATTACATGCTACTAAACACCCTGAGGTGACTTTATTTTGCAATTTTTTTTTTCATTTTTGCTCTTAATGCAATGATACTTGTGCAGTAGGGACACAATCATTTTAAAACTCTGAAAATTTACCTTCATAAAGTTTCAGTAGATAGTAAAAGGACTCCCTCTATTGGCAAATCCATGTGTAAATATAAGATAATAGGAGAAATACTATGGGCATATATTTTCCCGTGCTAGTAAGATCTTGTGAAATCCCAGAAACTTGATTGAATTTTTTTTGGGGGGAGGCGGGGGGAACAAAAACACAATCTGTAACTGAACTGTATACTTTGACATCTCTGTAATTCTGGTCTATTTACATCTGAGTGACAAATTCACTACTTTCTTTAACACTTTTTTTTTTTTTCCATTCCCTGCTGTACAGTCAAATTAAATTGAAGGAAGCTGAAACGTCAGTCGCTTACATGTTTGAACATTAAATATTTGGGGAGGGGTAGTAGTACAGCTATTTAAAGAAAAGACACAGTACCCTTTTCTTTCTCCTGAAGGCAGGGAGCTCTGGCTTGCCGTGTTATACGTGTTAATAGATTGGGGTTCTGAATACGAACTGCTCTCTGAATCTCCTGGCACTGTGCGCTCTGAGCCATCTCGGGTAGCAGCTTTTGCTGATATTTGCTGCTTCACAAAGATTATCAGAGTTCTTTCTGACATTGCATCTAAATAAGAAAATGCACGTCTAGTTATTTGACAGGGTATAACGGGCTCCCCCCTTACAACCTGTTGTGCTGTGGGTGTTTCCTGGTCCTTGGGCCGAGCGCCGCGCAGGGACGTGGTGTGCGGCGCCCAGCACCGCTGGGCCCGTGCGGTGCCGAGCGCCTCTGCTCCTCGCTCCATCGCCACCAGGCGACTCTCGCTCTCCGCGCTGAGGAAGCCGGGAGCTTTTACTGATGACGTTCGGTTGGCAGTCAGGTGGCAGTGTCTCTTCAACTTTAGATCTGGATTTATCTTCTTGCTTCTAAAAAACTACTGCCTCTTTACTGTCAATGCTGGAACATAAAACTGATTTTGTTCAATTCCAGTTAAAATACTTGGTAAGAAAGCTCTCCGAGGATGTGTTTCTTAATCTGGGCCTGGGTGCTTACCGCAGAGGCTGGCAGCCCTAGGAAAGACAGCCTTTCTGAGCTTCCTTGCCTTAGTGGTGGCACAATGTTTGCAGAAATCTTGGGTGAAAGGTGCTTTGAATGAGGTGGTTTTCCCTAAATGTGGGAAAGGCTCCCGAGTGAGTCACTACTGAGTCATAGGGAGATGATGCTACTTCTGCATATGAGACACAGTTTATATTCCTAGCGTGATGTCCCAAGAAGTGCTTCGCCACAGCTGGAGGCTGCTGCTGCCTGAGGAACATTTGACAAGGTGCTGACCCATCTTTATGGAGAGTAAAGGATCACCTGAGAACCTGCTGTATACAGACAACCCTGCAAGTGCTGGCGTCAATGATCAGGAGGTCTGACAAGTTACCCCGTGATTGTTTTAAACTACATTTTGCGCTCTGTGTTTTGATATTCTTGAGAATTTTTCAAGCCTTTCAATTTTGCCTAGTAACTACAGAGAAGAAATACGTGTATAGGATACCTGTCCTCATGTAATCTCCTTGTAAAATCGGAACCACAGACATGCCTAGACCTACAGTGAGTCAAAATTTCCCAATCTTGTTCAATGCACAATCTACATCTCTGTAATTGTTTTGGCATACTTAAAATACTGATAAGCTTTCCCCACAGGATATATCCTTTCCCCACAAAACTACCACATAGATAAGAAGAGAGCATACAGTAACTGAGGAAATAGAAGTAGTATTGCTCAAGACAGTGTTTACTAACATAGGATTTAAAGATGAGAAGAGCTGAAGACATGCAGGTGTGTTTGACTCAAGTGAATAGCAGAGTAAAGGTGAACTCAAAAGACTGAAAGAAAACTGTGAGTAAATGGAGCGATAGGAGGAGCTGTCAGTGGTGTCAGAGCAAGAATAAAGGTTAAATAGAGCTTTGTGAGTGAGGTAACTCCAGATCCAAACTTCATTCAGACATCAGCCAACTGAATTACCCACAAAGAGCTAACAAATATGCCTGCATCTTCCCACACCAGTGCTGAAACCCTGCAGTTGTAGGCAGAGCGTACTGGCCAAGGCTGGCTCAGCTGATTTCTGTGAGCTCCTTTTCTGTTGCCAGATGCTATTACCTGGAGCCATTTGGAATGAGATATTAACTGGAGTTTGGGATTCAGTTTTGCAAAAGCCACACACCCGAGCAGATCTAAACAAATTGCATAAGAAGCAGTCAGAGAGCAGTTAGCTGGCAGCCACATCTGAGTGAAGTTGTAAAATATATTAAAAAAAAAAAAGTCAAACTGCATAAACTATTGGGTTCTGTGAGTGGTACATGGCAAGGTGTCAGCCCAGCAAAACAGGAAAGGTTATGCCCTGGGGCAGTAAAGCAGCTATGCAACTGTCTAATGAGATGTTTGTATAGGTGCAAAATGGAAACTAAAGCACTTCTGTCGGTTATTCCTTGATTGAAACTACTTATTTCAAGGCTTTTTCTTTTCCAGCTTTGATTGAAGGATGATAGTTTAGATCATTTAGATCAACACTCCATAACTTGTAAAGCCCATTTATTGTAATTTGAATGAATTTAGTGAGAAGGTGTCAGATTGACATCCCCAGAGATCAAAGCTCTTAGTATGATTATTTAACAGAAAATGCCAAATGTGTGCAAGAAATCTTTTTCAACAAAAATCCTATGTACTAAGAATTACACAGATCTAAGGTGTAGATTTCTAGTAACTCTCTCTGTCTGTATAGTCCATTACAAACGCTGGTTGAATTTCTGAGAAGGTTGTATTGTTGAGTTCCTCAGTACATGTCAAGTCAAACCATATGCTGTTAAACTGCATCAGCTAAATTTCATACCAGGAACAAGGAAGGGTCGTGAAACCCTGCTGTCTGCCTTTCAGAGTGGCCTGCATGAATCAGTTCAGCCAGGTTCATCTCCAAGAAATGGATTTTAAAGAATACAGTTTTCTCAGGAATGTAACATAGAGATTGGGGATAATGTTACCTCTTAAACATCATCAACAGACACACTTGGGTTGCAAAAGACTTGCAGAGGAACAAGCAGCAGTTCAGGTCCATGTGTTCTTTTTGCTGCCTGAAATAGAGTGTAGAACGTTTGGGAGACTGAGTTTCCAAAGTCTCCATCAATTAACGTGTAAGGAAGTGAACTATAACCAACTCTGTATTTATAAAGGAGAGTTGGAAAATGATGGATGTTAACTCCTAAGGAGACAAAATCAATCTAGGCGGAGTGTATCTGGTGGATTTGGAGGATCCAGTCCTGATTGAGGGTACTGTGGGCTGGCTAATACTCTAGGATCTCAGGTTGCCTGAAAGTTTCAAACTTACAAATTTCCTTTGGTGTAGTTTCTGTTTGCTTTTAGCATGTAAAGTCTCAGGTAGTTAATCCTTGTGTTTTCACCAATGGAATTTCTTGGTAATGGAAATAAAATACTGAAAAATAGAAACAGAAAAGGAACAGGAAGGAAGAAAACAGGACCTGTGAAATCAGGGGTGTGGATAATGTGCATGTATTAGATGAACGCAGTAGTTTCCATCCCTCAGTGCTGGGTGGCGTACTGCTATGGCATGAACTCACAGTGGAAAGGTGGAAGATTGGAACTAAAGGCTGGAACAGGCAGTAGGAAAATGCAGTGTTTGCAGGAAGTGCTTCTATGGTTTCGTGGGCTAGCATCGTTTCTGTTGAACTGGTATTGAATACTGAGGTGGTACAGAGACTTTCACATATCCTGATACCAGGGATTCTAGGCCTGATTTTCTACTATCTTACCCTGACTGTGGTCTGGTATACTGATATTCCTGATATACTGCATGTTCCAGTACTGTTTCTTCTTCTTGCAAGTAAGCTCTCAGGGAAAATGGACACCTGTTACATTCTCCTTAAAAGCTGTAGTTAAGTTGCAACATAACACTTACTTCACCAGCTAGTTGTTTTAATGTCCTTTTGTGAAGAAATGTGTTACAAAGATTATTTTTGTGCTCTACTTCTTTATGATGAACCTATCAAAAGCACAACTAATGCTTATTGCAGCATATGGGCATCCTGGGTAATATTGCAGAAAATTATATATTTATGCCTTGAATTCCTTCATGCATGCACCTAAAATATATGATCCACATTAAACCATTATCATTTTTTCACGCTCTGTTTATTCCCACTCTCTTGGAATTTTGCCCAGGAATGTGTGAAACTCGGTGGTTTTAATCATCTTTGCCAGGTTGAACCAAGGCTGCCCTTCTTCCCCAAAAAGGCAAGGACTCTGTTGTCATCTGTTTTCTTGCTCAAGAATGAAGACATGGGTGCTTCTCTCTCAAAAAATGTCAGGGATCCCTTCCCTTTCTGCAGAAGTGAGAGAAGCAGAGCAGGTAAGAACTCTGGCAGCCAGAGAATATGTGGTTCAGTGAATAGTCAGGCCTGATTCATCTCTTCTGGTTGTTAGCAAAATTTTCCCCATTGTGGTTCTTTGTTACAGCAGAGGCAGTTTTGAAATTAAGTAAGTTTCCATTACAATATCTATGACAAGTAGAGTTGTTATTTTGGGTTGCCCAGATACCCAAGTAGTCTGGACTTAAATTCAGATTCCTTTTTGAGAGCTTTTATTTGTCTGTTTTTATTTGCTGTTTTAATCAGCAAAACTAAATACAAACTGAAAGTTTAATGCAATGGTATGACGTAATGATTATTTAAAGATTTTG